CTGGTGTTGTGAAACGATTACCATGAAACTTTCGCTTCTTCTGACGCTTGCCAGAAGAACGTTTAGGAGTTTCACAATCCATATTCATAACTAAATTAATAAAGTACTTGTAAAGAGTATTTAAAGCGTACTATTTAGTTAATATAATCAGTAAATACACACAATAAACCACGGTAAAATCTTATAAACAAGGCAACAAACTTCAAACGAAATCACAGTTCTTAAACTTAGCTCTCATTTTCTACTACTCGTGATAAGCAAGCGATAACGTATCAAAACAAAATTAAAGTAGAAGTAACGTTTCATCTCGTCTTCTTCCACTGGCATATTTTTATTTAAAAATAGCAATGGCTGGCTTTCAGCACACGAAATCCAAACTGAGGCCCTTTAAAACTATAAACAAACACTACAGCAGCTGCCACGATCATTGCGGGTGTAAGAAAAACAGCTGCTTCGATATTTACATTATTTTCAATATCTCGCAAACTAATGAACGTATGAAAAAAAACAATTGCGTCAAATTACTCAGAAATGATTGGGCTATAAAAATATCAGAAAATTAAAAAATCGAATTTTTGAAAATTTTAAAGGTGTACTGTCCCCTTAAGTCGGCCTTCAGCAAAACAAACCTTCTGTAACTGAACATGCTTTAATTTGAACACTTTTCTGGTTTGAGCGAATGTCTGACAGGACTCAAAAGGAAGATAGAACAGCGTTTAAATTACGCTGGAGTTAGAAGAAAGGGAAAAAGAAGTCACAAAGAAATATAAAGATAAATCTTACAAACTTTATCTTTTTGCATTTATTGAAGTTCCAAATCATTTTGAATAGCTTCGAAGACGATGAAGAAAGATAAATTGCCAAAGCTGGTTAAAATTAATCTAGTAATTGTGAAAGTGGTTGAAGGCAGAATATACAGAAGAAGAAATCTGTTTATTTTTTTAACCCAAGCAATTGCAATTTGAATTTTAGTAATCAAAATTCTTCTAATTACCTTGTATTACGTAGTAGGTAAAAGCGTTAAATACAAAGCTGCTATGATTCACGTTGTTTAGGATAAAGAAAATGTGCTTGAATTCTTCTGATTCTTTAAATTAAGCTTTGTTTAACTCCTTATGAAAAGGGAAGTTAGCAGCTTGGAACCCTAATAGTTTTAAAATTAGTTTCAAAGCAAAATATTGATATACATTTCATATTTCTAAAACTCAGAATCTTCTTTTCGAGTAGAAAATAAGATGGATTTCTACCACATTCACTGCATATTTACACAATAATTGATTGCAATTGGAAGTGCAGGTGTACTGAAGATACCCACATTAAAACCCTGTGTATCATCGCTAATACGAAATCAATCCAACTAATGATAAAATGAAGCATTTTGTTTTTCACAGAAAGATATATGAGGATTTCTGTGAATCGTTACCAGCGAAGCTACGAAAACGACCTTAATGGTGCAGTACGGATGTCCACAGAAGACAAATGTGCAAAGGAATCACTCTGAAATTCGAAACAGACCTGAACTTGTGCCATTTCAAAATCGCACGGTAACAAAGCCTTTCAGATTCTATGCAGCATACATAGATATGCAGGTTAAATACATAGCACAAAAGCAGGACCTTAGGGTTTGGAAACAATGGATTTTGGAGTAATCCAATCAACTGTTAGAGAATGCGATTGAAGCTGTATTGATTAATCATAAATGAAAGATTTTTCGAACGAGTCAGTAAGAATCTTCGGAGGTATTTTAATTTTATTTTTTAACATTTCTAGCTGTTTTAATTCGAAACCATGTTATTTCTGTTTGAAACAGAGAAGCTAATTAAATACGATTTAGCTAAAATATTTAATGGCCGGACGCTTTATTTACTAGCCGTTAGCCTTGTGCCATACAATAGCCGGAAGTGGTGGCCATTTCATTATGGAAGCACCCAAGAGGTGTCCAGGGTTGCTCCATTAAGGAGGAATCGGGCAGTTCCAACGATGCCTTGATTCGAACCCGACCAATCGCTATGGTAGTCAGGGTCACTAACCACTATATCGGCTATAGCGTTATTTCCAAGAAGACTGTAACATAAATTTAAAATACAAACACCATTTAACATTTTTTAATATTTTTATTTTTTTTAACTTTTCAAATCTTGCTTCCGATGAATCAGCGAAATAAACGAACGACTAAAATGTTTATAAACTACATTATCCCTGGAATACAGCATTACAATATTAAGCAACTAATACAGCATTACCATATTAAGGCACTACTAAAGCCAGATGTGGTGGTCACTTTATTATGGATAATACCTAATAAATGGGCCACCGTTTCGTTCTATGAAGGCATGGTTAATTACAACCGTTCTTTCAAACCCGGGCACATCCTGTGGCAGTAAGGCACGGTTAGTTACAACCGTGCTTTCAAATCTGGGCACATCGCTGTGGCAGTAAGGCACGGTTAGTTACAACCGTGCTTTCAAACCCGGGCACATCGCTGTGGCAGTAAGGCATGGTTAGTTACAACCGTACTTTCAAACCCGGGCACATCGCTGTGGCAGTAAGGCATGGTTAGTTACAACCGTGTTTTCAAACTCGGGCACATCGTTGTGGGAGTAAGGCATGGTTAGTTACAACCGTGCTTTCAAACCCGGGCAGATCGCTGTGGCAGTCAGGCTACTAACTACTATACGGACCACCTGTGATGATGTAATTTGCATCTGAGCATTGCGTACAGAGTAACCACTATACATTAGATACATCACTTTAGATAAATTACCAGTAAAGAACCATTACTTTAGATATATTTATTAAAACATGAAGGTTGGTTGCCTTGCGATGGCGTCTTTTAGTTTTAATATTTCTTTAAAAAATTATTTCTAAAACATTATTATTAGGAGAAAAACAGCGAAGAAATTGTAAGCAATTGGACTATTTTTCTCTAGAGAATAGGTTTAAAGTTTGACTTGGAGAAACCAATTGGCAAACAAAAATGCAAATCAAACAAAAATGCGGGTTGATGACGGGTTGTTTTAACTACACAGCTATTAACGCAGCATATAAGAACTATAAGAGCTGAAGCATTTTGCTGTTGAAATTCCGGTAACAAAATGGGTAAAAATGTGAAAAAGGAAATTAATTGAACTCAAAGCAGCACAGATCAGGAAATGTACACTTGAAGGTTTCCATAAATATTTGAGTGAATTTGATTGCATTGTTTATATGCTCTAATTTTTGGTAATAAAAATTGAGAGTTTATACGTGTAATTGAACTTGTGGGCGCATATTTTGTACATAAGTACTTACTTCTTGTATAGAATTGTAAACCTTGTGAGTTTGTATCCAACATTTAAATTGCGAAAATAACTCTAGAAGAACCCGAGATAAGGGTACAAATTCTCCTGACACACATTACCCATGTTTTGGCATTTTCTCTCCAATTTCGTGATATCTTCGAAGTTTCGTTTTTTGGAGAAACATATTTTTGAACCTCCGACGCTGATTGTTTCCTAAGCTTCCAGAACACCTGGCAATATCATATAAATAAAGTTCCGAGAGTCAGCGGTCAGTGAAAATTCTGAGAGATTTAAGGAGACTGCGATTTAAAGAGAGTTAGCTTAATTGCGCTTTACATTTACTTTCCGATTGATTTTGAGAATATTTCTAGCATGCTAAGGAGAACATGCATCCTTAACATGCTCTATAACCTCATGTTACATATAACCTCATGTTGATGGATGCTCTATAACCTTTCAACGAGAATTTTAATCTCTGATGGATGCTTCATAACATTTCAACGAGAATCTTAATCCTTGATGGATGCTCTATAACCTTTCAACGAGAATCTGAATCCCTGATGGATGCTCTATAACTTTTCAACGAGAATTTTAATCCCTGATGGATGCTCTATAACCTATACAAAAAGAAATTAAAAAATTTGAAAACAAATAAATATGATTTTTTTAACTCCGTGAACATTTCACCTGTCACCCTTCCTATATTAAGAGAAGTCTACACTTTACTGTTTTTATCTTGATTTTAACCATACATTTATAAAGAGCAGATCTACATTACCATGATCTTAAGTGATAAAACAGAAAAAGGTCTTTGGAAGTTTCTACTACAGGCAAAAATCTTCCATTCCCTCATTTTATTCTATTAAAAAATGCTTAAGAGATAATATAAAATGTTTGATGTTAATACTCTCTTCTATTTAAAGGCTAAGATAAGTAATGGATATTTGCTCTACAATAAATAGCATTATAGAGAGAAATATTTTAAATAATAATTAATAATCATTTGATGATCACTTTAATCAACTAATAATGATATAAGTAAGTTTATCGTTAGAAAAATTAAGAATACTCATCTTAAAAGTAATAAGAAAAAACTACATTTAATTTAGAAATCAAATAACAAAAATCAGAGTTATATTTGTAATTTTTGTGAAAATTTGCAAATATAACACCGAATTTTGTTGTTTGCCTTCTAAATTAATATTTGTTCGGAGTGTTATTTTATCTTAATTAAAACTACATTTCTTTCATTATTCAGATTCAATAGACTTTACTTTTACTTAAATTCCCAATTTTGCATTTTAGAAATGTATACTGTTTGAAATTCTTATGAAAATACAACATTTATATGTTTTAAACTGTGTCTCTTCTATGTCTTGATCTATCACAGAAATGGAAATTGAACACGAATATTCAATGTAAAAAATACTTTTGATTTCAAACTACTGTATTAAAGTGTTGTACAGTATACCACAATGATAATTTTAAACATAAAATAAAAGCAGAAAAGGATATGCTGTTGAAATAGAACAGAATTTAAAACTGATAACGCATGAAATGCAGGTGAATAAGCAAGAAAACAACTCAATTGCAAAGCAAAAAAATTCATTCTTTTTTGAAGTGTTATTTTCGTTCTGTTCATATATATTATATTACAGCTGGAAAATACACATGCAATCATAAAAGGAGCTTGAGAGTTAGATAAAATGAAAAATTTACCGTCTTTGTTCATGCACGCCTCGAAGCACTTCCTGAGTCTGCAAGCCCTGCACTGATTCCTATGGGTCTTATCTATAGGACACTTGCCCTTTAAATCACCTTGAGCTTTGCAGGTGTATACTCTATTTCTATGAATGCTGCGCTTGAAGAAACCGGAGCAACCTGGAAAAATTAACAGATATTCAAAAATAAAAATTAATCAGATGGTACAATTTTACAATTAATAGAAACTTCTTAAAAATCAGTCTCCTTGAATATTATTGCATTTTATAGGTTCGTGGATTTGGAGTAATTGATAATAACATTTGAGGAAGAATCAAAACACAATTTATTCGTTAGTATTACACAGAAGAGTCCCAAAGACATGTTTATAGTCGTTGAAAAACTACGATAAACACGCTGAAATAAACAACACAGCCTACAGGTTGAAACGACGAAGACAGCTTCACTAGATATATAAAAGAGATAATATAAAATGTTTGATGTTAATACTCTCTTCTATTTAAAGGCTAAGATAAGTAATGGATATTTGCAAAGTACTTAAAGTACGGTGTCCGCCAATAACATCGCGGCAAAAACATCGCGGACGAAAACAACGCAAGGCGAAAACGTCGTGCTACAAAACATCGTGGGAGAACACATCGCAAAGAGAAAACATCGCAGTTCTAAAACATCGTTGTACAAAACATCGTCGTCGAAAATAAAGCGGTTCAAAAACTTCGCAGTTTAAAAACATCGTCGTCGAAAATATCGTGGTAAAAAATAAAGTATCTACAAATCATCGCATGACGATAACATCGCAGGCATGCTTTTTTCAGGCTTTAATAACTGTAAATGGATATTCCCATAATGATTTGTGAGCGCAAGATGTAAAGAAGGATAATTTTTTACTTTCATATTTTTTATTAAAAATTAAATTTTTGCTGAGAAAATAAGAAGAAAACTTAAGCATAGAAAATTAATGCTGCAACTTATAGCACTTAATAGAATTTTAAATCGATATAGTTAACTAACAAAGACCATTAATAAATAATTTTTTATAAAGATTTTACAGGTAATTTTTCATAAAAAGTATAATCTATTAAGTTGCATTTAATTTTCTATGCTTAAGTTTCCTTCTTATTTTTTCAGCAAAAATTTATTAGTTAATAAAAAAATGTGAAAGTAAAAATTATCCTTCCTTACATCACTTGCGCTCACAAATCATTATGGGAATATCCATTTACAGTTATTAAAGCCTGAAAAAAGCATGTCTGCGATGTTATCGTCATGCGATGACTTGTAGATACTTTATTTTTTACCACGATATTTTCGACGCCGATGTTTTTAAACTGCGAAGTTTTTGAACCGCTTTATTTTCGACGACGATGTTTTGTACCACGATGTTTTAGAACTGCGTTGTTTTCTCTTTGCGATGTTTTCTCCCACGATGTTTTGTAGCACGACATTTTCGCCTTGCGTTGTTTCTCCGCGATGTTTTCGGCTGTAACCTAAAGTACATCTCTCGGTAAATCTTTACCTTATGGCAAAAATTTGGCGACCAACCCTGCTACAGCAACCTGCTTTTTTTTTTTTTTTTTTTTTTTTTTTTTTTTTTTTTTTTTTACTCAAAATTTTTTCCAACAATCTGCTAGCCGAATTGCGCTTATGCTAGAACTTTTATAGAACAAAAGTGTTAATTATGACGAAGATTAGGTGCGAATTTGGTAGAAAGTGCAGAATCGCCCACTAATTGGCGCGTTTTTAAGAATTGCACATACGCGGTATCCATGTACACGTCGACCTATTTTCACTTAAAAAAAAACATCCCAGAATTGCACAGAAATGGCATTGCGCACACTCTTGACTTTATCCATGTACACATCGACCTATTTTCACTTAAAAAGTCAAAGAAAATTGACAAAAATCCAATTCTTCTTACTCTTGTAAAAAGTGCCAAACAAATAAGTGGGCGATTCTGCACTTTAGCAGCCAAATTGTTTCTAAGTGCTTATTAGCTAAAATCACGATCGGAATTTTCCGGAAAATGTCACATTACATGTCTCATGATCTCTCATTTCTCTGAGACAAAATAATCTGTGATTCGAACTGTGTACTTTTCAGATTATTGCTAAAGTCCTAGCTAGTAACCTTTATCGCCTTACCAAAATGTCGCCAAACTACCTGTTAACATATTCTAAAGATTAGCCCAGCTCTCAACTCAGTCAGTCGCTCTCAAGCTAATCTCTGAACTCAAGGCACTACTACTCTGAATTGAAGCTACTCCTTTCTCCGCATATAGGTAGGTTATATATAGCTTTAACCTACATTCGAGAACATTCCCTAGGAAAACCCATAAGAATGCATTCTAGAAGATTCTCGCTCCGTGTATGGCATAGCGCTAATTTTCTAGCTAAATGGAGCCAAATCTGGAAACCCTGCTTTTCTCTGCCACTTTCTGGCAACCCTAATCGCGCTTTACGGGGAAGCTATCTTACCGCAGCTGGGAATTTTGCAACAATATACCCGTATCTGCTCAAATGAATGCATATTACAGAACAAAATGCAATGAATCTTAGTCGCTGAACAAGAAGAAAGGTACTGAAGTAGAATTTCATTTAAAGGAGGCACTGTCAGCTGCCAGTTTTTGAAATAAAAGTTATCAGCTTATTAAAAGGGAAAAATTTATGTTTTCCGAAGAATGATCGTCTGATCGTCAGTAAAGAACATTGTTATGGCAAAGCACTTAAAGATTAATTTAGAAGTCAAACAACAAAAATCAGCGTTATTTTTACAATTTTTCACAGGTCTCGTTTCGATGGTCTTACAAAACCATCATCCTCAGCTGCTAATTCTTTTAACTGCAAAATTCTGTATGTACTGCATTATAGTCACAATATCTAAAATCCAACGAGAATTTTGAAATTTTGTAAACGTATAGTGTCATTTTGTAAACGTATAGTATCTATGCGGACGGGGGCACTCTAGATATGCGCGAGCCAAAAGTCCTCTTGAGTGGTTGATGGTAGGAGATGAGGAGTGGAAGACTCTCAGACCCGTTCCCCCAGGAGCGCTTTCCATCAAAAATTGTGGGTAGAACTCAGTCAAAGTCATACTGTATGATGACAAAAAAAAATGTCATACTGTATGATGCTCAGGCTCTTGCCAACGGCAGGGGAAATCTTGCCCTCTTTACCACGATATATTTCGTGGGCTTGCTCTGATGCTACTGTCACACAAGTGAGATAAGTCGCAACAACAGCTTGGAAAAAATTCTTATTAAGGAACGGAATTGAATCACCCTCAGCAAAACAACATATTCTTATTTTTCCTTAAGCAATTTATTTTTACGCAGTTGCTTGCATCTGTGAAGTGAACAGATATAGTTTTCCAGAGATTATTGAAGAGATTTTTTAAACTAAAGAGGAAAAATTTTTTTTGTTGAAATTGCATCTAAAATAACAACAACTCGGATAAAAAACCTCAAGCAACAATTTCGAAAGATTATTATTCACGAGTTTTGTGTGATTTCCTTCAAAAACATCAAAGCAATGCCCGCCATTAACCGCTTTTTTAACATCAGATAATATACGAAGATTTACCTTTCTCATGCAATGAAATAAAAAAAAATGCATACCTTCCCCTTTGCTACAGATACCTACCACTCTACCGTCAAAAAATAAATAGAAAAAAAATCTTCAGCATTTACATTTTTTGGGGGGGAGCTTTCTTACCATGCATTGATCATTAAAGTTTTCAAAACATGTCCCTGTTTAATATCAATACCAAAATAAATTAATGTACATTAAAAAAACTACGATCTCGCGCTGTATATAGCAAAAAGCGTAGCAAAAAATGCATCCACTTGGTAAGCTTTTTGTTCCAGACCCAGCCATGCATGTTCATTCCAATTACACGCATAAAAAATCATAATTTCACCACTGGCATCTGGAACTTGCTCTTCCTTTTCCCATGGTACTTCCTGCATCGTCATCAAACAATAAGCCTTCCCTTTCTAAAGTAATACATATTTCTAATTGCATAATGACATGCGGAAAGGAACCACATGGTGCAAGCAACAGTAAAAAAAGCTACTGTTGCTAAAGCAGCTGCAAAGTATTAGAAACTTGTGATAAAAAGTATGGCTAAGTGTATGTTACTCTGATGTTAATGCAATGCTTTTAAGAAGATCAAGTTGCGAATTGATGTATTAAGGTTAATTATGTCTGCCGAGTTAATTGCAATAGTCTTAGACTAATGAGCAGAAAAATATAGCAAATGAAATTATAAAAGAATAAAAGTGTTAAATATTTTGATATCTAAGATATTTGCATCTAGTTTTTATAAATGACAATCGAAACTTTTAGAAAATTACGTTTTTCTTTGTGTAGATTACAATTTATCATCATGTTGCATTCTAAAATAAGTGCATTGGACCTACTGTAATTAACTTGTTGCCATTAAAAGCTTCAGAAATTTGTTAATATGCCACGAATTTGCATTTTTTCTTGTTTCCACTTATAACGCATTTTTTAGGTTGTTTTTCAATATACTCTAAAAAGAGAGATACATATAACATGAAAGTGTATCTGAGAATTATGGTATCAAACCAAACTGCAAGAAGACAATGTCAATGTAAAAGTTGAAACTAATCAAAACCAACAATCTTATTTTTGGTGTCGATTTTGAATAAAACTATCGATTTGGAGGGCGATTTGATGCAAGTTTCTCTTTTTCAGGAGCAAAAACAATTCTGCCATATGCGAGGTGCAACGACCGTATTTACATCGAAAGCAATGGGTGGAGCCTAGCAGACACGAATGTAGCGCCACCTGTCGAGGAAAATATTAACGAAAGTTGAAAAATTTAAATATTAGGTTTAGTTCCAATCCAGTCCTTTCTAAAGCTAAAGAGAATTATGTCTTAATCTCCCGCCTTTCATTGATATTTTCCTCGACAGATGGCGCTACATTCATGTTCACTTTGCGTTTCCTGTTACTTTCGATATAATTACGATTTTCGCTCCTCAATTTTGCAGAAATTTTTAATCTTCTAAAGAACAGCGAACTGCGTATTATTGCTCTCGAAATAGTTTGCTAAATGCTCTCGATAGAGTTTTATTTAAAATATACGCTAAAATAAAATTGCTATTTTGCCTAGTTTTAAATATAAAAACATAATTT